CCAAAGATCACAAACTTTCCTTTTTTGCCCCGAGTTCCAGCCAGAGCTCTCTGTTCAGCCAGGCCAGTCTTCTTTCCTGCCAGCCCACCTTTCAGCACTTAAGGAGACCTGCTCCTGAGCCTTTAAGATTTCCTTCTTCAGGAATGTCCAGCCTTCCTGGAGTCCTTTGTCCTTTGTCCTTCAGGACTGCCTCCCAAGGGACTCTGTCCACCAGAAACATGAACAGGCAAAGAGCTCTGCTCTGGAAGTCCATGGAAACTTGCATGGATATCAGCAGGACCAACTACTTTTACCTGGAATTCCAAATTTGTTCAAGTAATTGTCTTCCCTCCTCATACTAGATCCATATCATTACCCAAATTAGTTTTTGAAATTGTGCTGTCTCTCAGTGGACGCTTGAATGAGAATTTGATGATGATTAAAAACTCCTGTCATTGTCCTGTTGTTTGGGAAGCTCATTAGGTGAGGCACCGATAGCATAAGTGATCTACTTGTTTTATGGCCTTCTACAAATGATAACTTAGAAGGTATAAAAACAAGTAACTGCATCTAGACAATTTAAAGCCAGTAGCACTACAATAATTAAAAGATCTTTCTACACTGTAGTGGTAGAACAAGCAAAACCTCTATAATCAACTTATCTGGGGAAGTAATCAGACAATAAAAACTGAGGCATTTTAGGGAATAATAAAGCTGTGGAATCTAATGACTATAATAAATCTTTAGCTGCAGTTATTCCAGAACAATTTCCCTTGCAGTAAAAAGTATTCTACAGGGTTTTCTGCCTGAAATTACTGTTGGTTGGTCAGATGTCGATCCTAGGAAACAATTGCAGAATGATAATTCTATTTTTTGGCATGTATTTCCATCATTCACCTCTCCCTTTCATCATAAAGTCTTTCGACTTCATTCAAAGGTTAGATTCAAGCAATCCTTTGACAAGACCAGAAATAAATTTCTTCATTGACTTTCTGTACAAGAATACACACTAATATTCTCGTGTCCAATACATTTAGTTCAGCATGGTGTTAGACAGCAGTTTTGGACTTTGAGAACTACACTTCTACAAAGTACAACATCAGTCATTCGGCCCACAGCTCATACTGATGCAGGCTACCATTAAATATATAAGTAAATCAATAGGTAGTATGTATATCCTTCAAGGCAACGATGCTGGAGGTGAGCTAAGCGTGTTTCTACAGCCGATGGAGCTCTGGTTAACGTTCTCAATGGAGTTCAGGGGACAACTCATCTCATCCTACAGCAAAAACCTACATGTAGGCAGATGAATAGCACTGCAGCCTCCAAAGGTTGCACAGGTTAGATCTCTACGGGTACCATAGTAGAACAGGGTATGTAGGATTCCAAGGTGAATACCAGGAGCAAACCCAGGTGAATGTGGACGCTGGTATCAGATTGACACTTGCAGGGCCACTTGTGGAATGGCATTGCCCAAAGCCTGGGTTCTGTGTACCTCTGTCCCTGACCCAACGCAATGGAGTGCTCCAATCACACAGAATTCACCTTCACATTCCATCAGCTTTGAGAACTGAAATTACCATAATTACATTGATGTTCAGTGTATGAAACAAACACGTTCGATGAAGAAAAAGATGATTGTTGCAGTTTTTATATCCATTCTTCACCAATATAAATGAGCACTCTATATATGCCAATATAAGTCAAAGTACAAAAATGAAGCTCCTTGCTTAAATTTAAATTTTGTTAGCCTATGTGATCAAAACCAACTAAAAGTACCTCATATGGAAAGCTGTCTCACGGATGTGGTATATATGCCCTGGATTGTACTTCCTTTAATATTTTAAATAACTTTTTCTCAGATTAATCTGAAACATCCATCCCATTTACATTACTTGTTTAAGTATAAGGTCTGATCATGTTCTTATGGAGAAGACAAAAAAATCCTTCTCAATTACATATAACAAAAAAATCTTGCAGTACACTACAAATGAGTATAGTTCAGTTCTTGTTTTATTAGAGGAGTTTCCTAAACCCAAACCAAACACCAGTTTTCAAATTCCCAACTCCTTAGATTTCTGAGGTTTCTATATCTACCAGACAGCCACAGTACAGAATGTTTTTAAACACATCTTCGATCAGTTTATTGCTGCATCTTAATAGAGTAATTCAAAATACATCAACTCAATAGTACTTTCAACTACTGTCTATGACTAGGATATCTACAGCTAGACAGTTTCACTGGTAGTCAAAACTTAAACAGTTCAAACTATGAAAACTTAAACAGTTCCACAAAATTCAACTTGTATGGAAACCACACAAGCAGTTGAGCTATAAACAAATTTCATTTAAAAAAAAAAAAAAAAGCAGGGTTGTCTTTCCCTGTTGGATGCAAAATTTTATCAACTTCACCTGGAAAACAAACCCAGCCCTTTCTCCAACTTACAGAAATCCTGTCATCTGCAAGAGCAGGACTCAGCAGTAGCATTTCTTTAGTTGCTCAGCATTTAAAAAGAAACAAAACCAGACAGCACTTAGGGTGCAAAAGGAAAGTGGCTTCACCTTGTCATACTCTGAAGTCATAAAGTTCTCTTACAAGTTGTGATTAATGAAGTTTAATACTAAATCCATACATTTTCATTTTCTTACCCAAGCCAGTATTTTCAGCTACGAATGAGTACTACCCATACTGGAATGGTTATTATGTCATTTTATGTTACTTTTTTTAACAGCTCAATAAAACTAGCACGTAGCGGTGGTTTTTTCTACTATCAAGTATGTAAGCCCAGCGCAGTAAGGCATTTCCTGCCAAATATGTCCTTTTATAAATGGAAATGTGGATGTAATTGCCTTGCTTTCCAAGGAAACTGGCTAATGGTATATTTACTTTTTAAATGGAATGCTTACCTTTGACATATTTAATACCTAAATACAATGTTTAAAGTTTGACAGCCCTAGAAATATATTAAAAATACAAATATACAAACCCTAAACCAATAAGACTTATCAAAAGATCATAAAAGTAGCACTGCTAAGTGCTCAAATATAAAATAAGAGCCACATAGAAAAAGGGAACCGGAGAATGAACATGAAGCAGCGGGCGCCAGCAGTTACTGAATGCCTCTTCCTCCATCTAGAAGTAGCAATGGAGGTTTTTGTGCACTGCCAGCTGTAGCCAGGGTCAGACACAAACCTCCAGGCCAAGGAAGCAGGCTGAGAAAGCTTCATGCAGTGCCAGGGAATCATAGAATGGTTTGGGTTGGAAGGGACCTTAAAGATCATGGAGTCCCACAGGCAGGGACACCTCCCACTAGAGTAGGTTGCTCAAAGCCCCATCCTAAATACAATGTTTAAAGTTTGACAGCCCTAGAAATATATTAAAAATACAAATATACAAACCCTAAACCAATAAGACTTATCAAAAGATCATAAAAGTAGCACTGCTAAGTGCTCAAATATAAAATAAGAGCCACATAGAAAAAGGGAACCGGAGAATGAACATGAAGCAGCGGGCGCCAGCAGTTACTGAATGCCTCTTCCTCCATCTAGAAGTAGCAATGGAGGTTTTTGTGCACTGCCAGCTGTAGCCAGGGTCAGACACAAACCTCCAGGCCAAGGAAGCAGGCTGAGAAAGCTTCATGCAGTGCCAGGGAATCATAGAATGGTTTGGGTTGGAAGGGACCTTAAAGATCATGTAAATACAATGTTTGAAGTTTGACAGAAATATATTAAAAATACAAATATACAAAGCCTAAACCAATAAAACTTCTCAAAAGATCATAAAAGTAGCACTGCTAAGTACTGAAATATAAAATAACAGCCACATAGAAAAAGGGAAGCAGAGAATGAACAAGAAGCAGTGGGCGCCAGCAGAGTCACTGAATGCCTCTTCCTCCATCTAGAAGTAGTGATGGAGCTACTTATGGCAGGGACCACTCTGGAGGCCCTACTGGAAGAGGCTCTAAGGTCTTTCCAGAGCCTCCTCTTCTCCAGGCTGAACAACCCCAACTCTCTCAGCCCGTCAGTGGAATGCACGGGGCCAACACCACCACCAACACAGGAAGTTCAGCTTCACAGTGCTCTTAGCAAAACCTCACTTCTTTTCCACCAAACCTGCCTCTACACGTTCCTACCTAAACTAAGCCAGGTGGAAACCCTTCCTGTGTAAACAGGGACTTGACAAAGACCGATTTTAATGCCACCCATCTCCCCAAGCTTAGCACAGCAGGCTATAGGTGCTGGGCAGCCCAGGTTGCCTCTCTTTTGGTATCTAATCTAAACCCCCCCTCTTTCAGTTTAAAACTGTTGCCCCTCATCCTATGGCTCCACTCCCCGATCAAGAGTCCCTCCCCATTTCTCCTGTAGCCCTCTTCAAGTACTGGAAGAGGCCCTAAGGTCTTTCCAGAGCCTCCTTTTCTCCAGGCTGAACAACCCCAACTCTCTCAGCCCATCAGTGGGGGCCAGCATGGGGCCAGCACCACCACCAACACAGGAAGTTCAGCTTCACAGTGCTCTTAGCAAAACCTCACTTCTTTTCCACCAAACCTGCCTCTACAAGTTCCTACCTATATTAAGCCAGGTGGAAACCCTTCCTGGGTAAACAGGGACTTGACAAAGACCAATTTTAATGCCACCCATCTCCCCAAGCTTAGCACAGCAGGCTATAGGTGCTGGGCAGCCCAGGTTGCCTCTCACCCATGGATGGTGGAGGAGCCTGGTGAAGCTGTGACCTCTAGAGTCCCACACTAGGGGTGAGACACTGAATATCTTACTCCTGAAACAGACATTTTAAGGGCAGCCTGTGACCAGGTAAGAGGGGAGTACGTTGATGTCAGCTTAGGAAACGTCTGTGTGTTTACTGGTAAGAGCAGATACACTCTGGATGTTTATTCAACTCCAGTTTATCTACATAAGGTGTACAGGAGATGAGCTTCACCACTATTTAATCCGATTTAAATCAGTCCTCCCAGACAGCACGCTGTTGAATTTCCATATAAAAGGAATGTTATCTTCAAACTTACCTTTTTCTGTTTTGTCTTGCTCAGTTTCTTTTTCACTTTTCCCTAGAATATTAAAAATATAATTTCAATGAGATAAATTTATGCTAACAGTATATGATAAGAAAGAGATTCAATAAAATGACAGCTTGCACTCAAAATCCAGTTGGGCCAACAGGAATTTTTAGTTTAATTTTGATTTTAAAAATAACCATAGACTGCTCTCTGAACCATAGTTACATGAAAGGTCTTTCTCTGCAGGTGCTTCAAATATCACATAATTGCTTCTGTCACAAAATACTTCATAACCTTTCCCCTTTAGTTATATGGCAGATTTAAGTGACATGCACTTAAGATGCAAGCTATTTTGCAAGACAAAAAAAAAAATCACTCACTAATTTAAAACTCTTGGGAACACTATCTTAATAGATATAGTTGGTAAAAAAATAAAAAACATGAAAATCAATTGGGAATGTAGGTCTCATTTTTAGAGTGACTTGGGCACTTGAAAGCTTTAGTCTGACTTCAGCTTTTAAAATAATTTAACCCATGTGTTTTGTAAACATCTGAGTGCACAGAGAAATGTTAAATAAGCACCAGACTGTAGCAAAAACCCAACAACATACTGTACCAAAATCACATACACGTATATCGTGAAGGTGGTACATATGGACAGGTTTGTCCCTTCCTCTTTTTTTCTCTCTGAACACCTACTCTATAACATTTAAATCACCTTGCCTCAAAATTCTAACATAACCATTCTATTTCCAATTTCATCCCAATAAGCTTCCAATATTTCCTCCGAATAAACTTAATGCAGAACACTAAAAAGAGAGCTCAGTTGGGTTTTCAGTTACAGTTATTTTCCTCTCTAACATGCATTCTTTAATTTTGATGTATCCTTATACATAGAAAAAAACATTTTCTTTAATTTATAAGTCAATTAGAGACATCTTAGCAGAACACTCGATCTTCACAGTCTTTTAAACTGACTGCTCAGAAGCATCATATTGTGAATAAAATACACCACGTAAAAGTAAAAAAACATTTCTCTTTTTTTTTCATGGAGAAATTGGGTTATGTGCACACATAATATCAAACTATTTGACATTCCAAATTCACTCTTTACTACAAGCTGACAACTGCTACTACTGAGCGTGCAGACAGTATGACTCTGATTTTTATATTCATCACAAGGCAGAATGAGTATTAACCTGGTTATGATATGGTAAATTAAATAAATATGATCACACTGAAAGTCATTCACCTCTTCAATTACGTCATAAAATCTAGATTGTCAATTAAATTGAAAGAAATGTCAAAAAGATCTAGAGTCAGTTCCATACTATGGGATATCCTGGAGAAGGAATATTATTACTATAACAGTGTATTAATGAAAGCACTCAGTATTTCCTAATATACTGGCTTTTTGGGTTTTAGTTTTTAGTGCATACCACACAATAAATACAATGGTTATGTCCATCCACGTCAGAGATATTGTATTTTCAACAGAATAATAATGCAGCTCCAGATGAGACACAGAACAGTTTATATACTAATATTTCTATTATTTTTACCAACATGAACAATTCATTACAGGATAGTCAGCTATGATACAGCACACCACTTCGTCACCCATTCTCCTTGATCTTTTCCTTCATCAGAAACACTGATATTCTCACCTGACCTCTTCTCCCTAATTCCCTTGAGGTCACTCCGTGACCCTCTTTCATCCATCTTGGACATCCATGTTATTTCTGCACCTTCTTTCCATCACAAGAAGAACAAAGTCTGAGCTCATCGCTCTAAAGCCTGCTCCTCTCTCCCATTTCTTGTCCAGCTCCACATTCCTTTATTACTGAGGCGCAGGTGACATAGAACCTACCATTCTCCATACCCACTTGTGTACCAGGATCAATTCTCCAAATTCTCTCTCTGACTTTTTTCAACCTGTATTCTGCCAGATTAGCTGCCACTGATTTCACCAAAGCCCCTCCAATAATCTTTACAGATTCCAGCTTTTCCTTCTGCTTTTGAAATTCATCACAACTTGGTCTTGTTTGCTCCGAAGATCTTGTTTCTCCAAATTGTTTTTACAAATTCACTTCAGCATCATAGAATCATAGACTTGTCTAGGTTGGAAGGGATCTTTAAGGTCATCTAGTCCAACCATCAACTGAACTCTGACAACAACAAAAAAACATCACTAAACCATGTCACTAAGCACTACGTCAACCCATCTTTTGAACACCTCCAGGGATGGTGCCTCAACCACTTCCCTAGGCAGCCCATTCCAATGCTTAATAACCTTATCTGTGTGAAAATTGTTCCTAATATCCAACCTGAACCTCCCCTGGTGCAACTTGAGGCCGTTTCCTCTTGTCCCATGGCCTGTTCCTTGGGAGAAGAGACCGACCCCCCCTGGCTACACCCTCCTTTCAGGGAGTTGTAGAGAGCCAGAAGGTCTCCCCTCAGCCTCCTTTTCTCCAGGCTGAAAACCCCCAGCTCCCTCAACCGCTCCTCATAAGACTTGTGCTCCAGAGTCCATCACATCCAGCTCCACACCAATCCCTACCTTACCTCAATGGTGCAAATAGTTTTATTAGGCTATTTCTGGCAAAGGTTTTAAAACGTGCTGTGTCAAAGACAGGGATATGACAGTAAATCTTGAGACTATTTTGTCATCAGCTTAAACCAACTGTAGCTCAAAAAAAAAATAATTTCTTAACTCTTAAAAAAAGTCTCAGCCTTTACTTAATGTCTCTATTTCCAGCAAAACAAATCTAGATAAAAAACGGAGATAAAACTGTTTTAACCAATCTGTAGATGCTAGGATTGCTATCACTGTGTAACCTATGGACCAGGTATTCCCTAGAAGGTTTCTACAGTAAAGAAAAAAATTATTTTTTATGTTACAATACATCTAAATATTTATGAATGCATCTGACAATGACCAATGTCACAACTAAAATGTATTTCAGACACTGTAGATTTTACACGAATCCAAATCAACACTGTTTGTTATTTACATGGATGTATTTTTTGAAACACGTAAAATCACACAATGATATTCAGTGAAAACATGACATTTTTCAGTGTCTTTCCTATATTCAATCTTATCCCTCTTCCTTACTTCTTATAAAGAATAGTGTCATGGTATACCTTTTCAGTCGCTGAGAATTGGAAAAAGTCATTTTAAATTGTAGCAAATTTTCAGTATTAAAAGAAAAATTTAGTATCCTATTAACTTAAATTTTGCTTTCCTTACTGGTATTTCTTCCCGTGATTTCTAAAAAAGCGACTGAATCCAAGATTTGATAGATTCACTGAGATATAGCAAGAAGCAATGTACCAATGTGAAAATACAAATAAAGATGTAATTTTTGATTTTTTTTTTCCCTAGAGTTCTTTATTTGGCATTATGTCATCATAAAAATACGGAAGTGTTTAGAAACTGAAAAATTCAAGGAATATTTTTGTTTTCAAACCAAAAACTGTACAGACCCAACACCCTTGGAAAGACTTCTGATTTAAACTATGGACCATAACCTAGAACATTTCTCTATGAAAGGTAGGTATCATACTTCCCACACACGTTTGTGCTCGTTGAAGAGTAGCATCTCACCCATTTTAAGTTACAAATAGAAATGAGGTATCATGGGCAAAATTCAAGCCAAACTGGTTGCAGAATTGCTAATACTCCAAAAGGAGAAACACAGCACAACTACAGAAGAACCAGACCTTCCTTCACGTATTACCACCCCGAAATAAAAATTACTTCTACTTCTTCTTCGCTGTAAATTGTACTTTCAAATGTATTTTTATATATTTAAAATTACTACTTTGAAAAACAATAATATTACCTCGTGGCTGAGACAAATCTTTATTCCCATAGTTAATATCTACCACGTTTTGGAAAAAATAATGACACTAGAAAGACAAAGATATTCTTCTGTGTTTTATTGCAGCCAAACATTAAAACAGATTAAATATACATTTTTTTTTAATAGACCTCTTGACCTTGCTCAGCTTGGCATATTTTTTGTAAACATGAAGCACGTAAAATCACATACCCAGTTACAAAATACTTAAAATTTGATCACAGCATAACATACTCTCACAGTTGCATAATTCTACAAATAGGCTGCCACTGTTATATAAAAAGTCCTCCATTCACCATCCTAAAATTATTCCTAAGCTTCCACACAAAATATGGCTTTGTAAAAATTATTGCTCTGCAATTCACAATCACAGGTAAGTTTACTAGAGTATTCCATCCCAAACCACATCACAGTCTAAGAGTATTATTGCTTTCCTGAAAAGTCTAAAAGTACCAGAGTTTGGGACATCTTCTGTGTTTGTTGATCAGACGTAACACTCACTTATGTGGAGTCTTACTGCAATCCCAAACCAAAGGCGGCAGAGATGATGCCCCTTTCACTATAAATGTAAGCAACTAAAAACCTGACTTCAGAACAGTGTTACAAAAATTTAAGATCTCCCTGTCAACCCAAAGGCAACCCACTGTCAGGGTTACCAAATCGATATTTTCTTCCTAAAAATTTATCTTATTTTATTTCTGCTAAGCTCCCATATCAAGCTTGGCAATTTCCTAAAATCACAGCAATTATTCCTGAGCCAAAAAGGAACACATGCAAAATGCCAAAGGATAAAATATGTCTTCATAATTGTGGAACAGCAGCACAGAACAGGTAAGAAGTACACCTGTCACATTAAAGTTCTAAATCACTCTAAATTTCAGACGTACCATTTACAAGAGCATTTATGATAAAGTACACCTGTTACATTAAAGTCCTAAATCACTAAATTTCAGACGTACCATTTACAAGAGCATTTATGATTATAGGTCTTAAATTTTGACATCCTATTTGGATGTCCAGAATTGTTGGGTTGTTTTTTTAAAATAAAATTTACAAGTCAAATATTTATGCAAATTTGACTTTTTAAATAATTCACTGACTATAAAGATAACTAAATCCAGCTTTGAGATTGTTATCTTGGTAGAAAGTAGAAGAATTTTACTGAACTCAACCTGATTCCTGCAA